AGCCAAATTAACATTTTTAAATGATTTGAGTTATTAATTATAGTGAAGAACTGGTAGCCAACCATCAATTTCATAAATAAATAAAATACTGACTACTTAATGAACTTGATAAATAAGAAAGGCACATTATTCCTCTAGAAATAGGTTTGGGCTCTTGCCTAAGGTATAGATGGATTGTCAATAGTTATACTTTTTAAATGATTAATTACACGAAGCCTTTCCATTGAGATCCAGGTACCTCTTACAATTAAGTCAATTCCAACTCACAGTGAATCTGTTGGACAGAGTAGAACTTCCCTATAGGATTTCTAAGGCTGTGTACAATACATCTTTCTCCTGTGGAGTGGTTAGTCAGTTTTAACAGCCAACTTCTTGACTAGCAGCCGAGCACTTTAACCACTGCACCGCTAGGATTCCAAGATCCGTGTAACTCCCTTCAGTTAGAAAACATTGCCCTTGAATACTCATAGTCCTTTGTCTCAAAAATGATTCCCTCCTCTCCTTACTCTTTATTCCTTAAACAGATGGAGTATTTCCATAATACATAGGTTCGTGTTGAGCTGCTTGAGCTTTAAACTCCCAACTTGTCATGTAAGGGTTGTGTGTACAATTCAACTATGATATACAAAGGCGTGTAATGGCCTTTTCCTTTGGTGGTGAAATCTTGAATAACTATGACCACGTAGATTTATGTTCCTAATTCTGTTGTCATTGTTGCCTTTCTTTCTACTCTTCCAAGTTCCCTCCTAGCTCTAAAAATTATAGTTAAAACTTTAGTAGACATTTCTTTCTTGTCATAGAGGAATCTTAAAAATGGAAGTTAATTATTTTGGCTGAGATATGGCTAATCTGATATATTTCAAACACTGAATTTTTCTTTCGTATCAGCAAATTATCAAACATTTATCCTGCTGATCAAAAGATCACTGTAGAATCATATAGGTAAATATCCATTTGAGAGTCGAGATTTAAGTGTTGTTACGTCTTTTCTCTTTTAAGGTTTCTTTTAATCCCAAATGTATAATACTGGATATACTATGTCTAAGTGCCTTCATAACTTAGTCCTTTAAATTTGGGTAAAATGTGTATTAATGACAGATAATGGTAAAACTGTTTTTAGTCTTCCTGTTACTAAATTTAGCTGATTGGGTAGATGATCATACTGGTTGGTGGCAGTGTGGCTTTTTTAAAGGTGCTCTGGTAGTGTAGTGCCTAAGGCATTTGACTGCTAACCAGAATGCTGACACTTCAAACCCACGAGACACTCCTCGGAAGGAAGGTTGGGCAATCTATTTCCGTAGTGATACCACCTCGGAAACCCAAGGAGCGGTTGCTATGAGTTGGGTCTGACTCGACCCAACAACAACAACATGGAAAATGAGCATTAAAACCAAGTTCTTATTTTTTAAATTTAAGATGTAACACTGGGAACTCTGGTGGCATAGTCCCTAAAGCATTTGACTCCTAACCAGAAGGCTAGCGGTTCAAACCCATCAGCCACTCCTCAGAATGAAGATTGGGCAATCTACTTCCATAGAGATGCTGCCTTGGAAACCCAAGGGAGGGGTCATTATGAGTCAGAAACAACCCGAAGGCAGTGAGTTTGGTTTTTTTGTTTTGTTTTGTTTTGTTTTAAGGTGTGACACACTTTCTTATTGAAAACAATTTTCAGAAAGAAGAAAACTAATCTTATTCACCTTTTATATACAAGGAACTCTGTGCTTTCAGATCTGTTCTTACTTAGTCCTCACAACAATTCCATGTTATAATTTTATTGCCAATTTACAAATAAGAAAACAGCCCTAGAAATATTAAGTAATTTGCCGATGTGCAGCTGAGATTCAAAAAGTTTGTGTATTTTCTTTTTTTAAAAAATGATTTTTATTGAGTTTCTGGTAGAAGTTTACACAGCAAATTTGACAGTTGCCACACAAATTTTCAGTGACATTACTTACATTTAAAACACTGTATTAGCATTTTCCTTAATTGTATTGTTTCCTTTCTAGTACTCTGTTTGAATATCTTCTTCTCATCTTTGCTTTTAAGAAATTGTTGACCTTTGGTCTCATACTGATGGTTTTTAAGAAGGGCATCAATCTTATGGGTAATATCCTTTATTTAGTGTGCCCCTTTGCTATTTCACAAAAAAGGTGATCTTGGAGGATAGGTTCGGTTCTAGGTTTAAAAAGTGTCTCACAATGATAGTCTCAGGGAATCCTCTGTTCTCTACTATTCCAGTTTGTCTGGCTTTTTTTCTTTTTTTTTTTTTAATAAGAATTTGAGTTCTCTGTATTTTTCTCCCATTCTGTCTAGTACCAACCATTGTGTCCCCAGTCAGAGCTGTAGTTTTTTATTACTTCATGCTCTCCCTTTGAAACATAGAATTTGTGTTCATTTTCCCATTTGTATTTTCCAGAATGAAAATCTCATATGCAAACTTTCCATTTTATGAAGTTAGTGTGATTCTAAAACTCTGTGTATTTAAAATACAATTTATCTTCTTCACTCAACTTATCTTCAAAAATGACTTATTCAGTTAATGTTGTTGTTATTATATGCCGTCAGGTCGGACCCAACTCATAACAGTCCCTCCTTGGGTTTCCAAGACAGTTGTTGTTGTTGTTATATGCCGTCGAGTCGGCCCCAACTCATAGCGACACCCCTCCTTGGGTTTCCGAGACAGTATCACTACAGAAGTAGGATTGCCCAACCTTCGTTCCGAGGAGTGACTGGTGGGTTTGAACCGCCAGCCTTCTAGTTAGCAGTCAAGTGCCTTAGGCACTATGCTACCAGAGCTCCTTCCAAGACAGTATCACTAGGGAATTAGATTGCCGAACCTTTTTTCCAAGGAGTGGCTGGTAAGTTTGAACTGCCAGCCTTCTGGTTAGCAGTCAAGTACCTTAGGCACCACGCTACCAGAGCTCCAATTCAGTTACTAGTACTAGTATATTTTTCTGGTCTCCCAGGTTTAAAATAAGTTAAAATCATAACTTATTCCTTCCTTCATTTCTCTCACCCCTCCCTGACCCATATCCATGAGTTGCCACAACTTATCAGTTCTAGCTGACATCTCTTAAATACTGCTTGAGGGGCATGAAGGTGACATCTTCCAACCTCTTCTAACTCCCCAAAAGGAAGACAGAATCACCATCAGCAGCCCAAGGCCTGTTCTTAGCGGCCAGACATGCCACCACCCTCCAGACCTCTTACCAACCTTAACACCACCCATCCCTCTCACGGCACCTACCACCTGTCTGCTGGGTTCGATAATTCACTGCAGTGGCCACACAGAACTCACAGATTATGGAGTTTATTAGGGAAGCAACAGGCTACGATTCAATTCAAGTTCAGGAACGTGCTCAGGATACAGTTCTTCAGTCAGGACAGTCTCTTCTCTGCTGTGTCCTTAGACACACTGCTCTGGCCCTTGGCTTCCCACCCTGGCCTCTGCCTCTGTGGGCCAGGTGAGCCTACCGCTCTGTCTCATGCCTCTTGGTTCACTGCCGCTGTCCCTCAGCTGCGTGTCTTAACCAACAGTGAGAGAGAGAGATTCCTTTTGCCTCTGGCTGGCTTCATTTTGGGCCTGGCAGAATGGCGAAACCAACCAGTCCTAACATCAGAGTTCTACACACCTGAGAGAGAACAAACTTCCCTGGATACTTCATGCTGCCCCAGGTGGATGACCTTAGCAAGCAGCTACTCAGTTGCTCACGGCAAAGTGGGAATTACAAAGACTATGGCTAGAAAAGCCATGCCATGTAATTCATTACACCACACATACATTTCCTTTATCTACTTCTCTTTCTCTTAATTTCTGTAAAGCATGGGTTTGATGTTTAATCTCCCTTGAAGGATCATATCAACCATTGCCAAACATTTACAGCTCTTCTCAGTCTAGCCCAGAATTCATTTTTGCATCATCTGCCGCCTTACCTCATCATGCATCTTTTATTTCAAGATATGTTCAATTCTTCCTGGAATACCCTGCCCTCATTTCTCTAATAAAATCCTAAGCATTCTTTAGCAGCTTATTGAAATATAACTTCTTCTATATAGCCTCTTCTGGTATAGATTCCCATCAGAAATATTCTCACCTTCCCTTGAACTTCATGGTCCTTAATCTCTGTTTTCCTTGAGGTCTGCAAAAAGGGCAAGGAGGCTGCATATTCTGACCTCCTAGAACTCCACAAGAGGAAGGCAGAATCACCATCAATAGCCCAAGGCCTATTACTGCAAGGCCAGACATGTTGCCTCCCTCCAGTCCTTTCTCCAACCGTTCCTCCCAAAGCACCCACCACCTCTCTCCTGGGTTCGATAATTCACTGCAGTGGCCACTCAGAGCCCACAGATTACGGGGTTTATTAGGGAAGCACCAGGCTACAATTCAAGTTCAGGAAAAGCACTCAGTCTCTCTCCCAGCCCACTGTCTCTCAGCCAAGTCTCTCACAGTCTCTCCCCCAGCAGTGCATGTCCCTCGCTGTCTTACTCAGCAACACGTGTCTCTTGCATCTCTTTCCCAGCAGCACGTGTCTCTTTCAGTAGTGCATGTCTCTTTCAGGAGCACGTCTTCCTCAACCAGCAGACAGGGAGAGTTCTGCCTCTAGGAGGCCTCTTTTTGAGCTTGGCAGAGTGGCCAAACCAACCAATCATAACAACAGAATTCTAAGCACCTGAGAGTGAGCCTCCCATAACATTGCCTTGTGCCACGCCCAATAGAAATAACCCAGATGGGTAACATTTACAATCAGGAGCTCCTCAGTTGCTCATAGCAAATCCCACCTTGGAGTTTATAAAGACTTATGGGTAGAAAAGCCACACTAAGTAATTTACTACACCACAGGTCTTTACAACTTTTTACCGTTTGATATTTGTTTTATATCTCTTCTTACTAGATTATTTGTTTATAGAGATCATTTCTACCAGGTTTTTATTAAATATTTACTTACTGATTGAGTAAATAAAATCTTAAAAACATAAATGATGTATTTCATTTTGCATAGGATGAAGGTGATCAAGCAGCAAGTGTTGAAGAGCTAGAAAAACAGATTGAAAAACTGAGTAAAGTAAGCACTTTTCTGATTAAATTTTACATCTTTTTTGTGTTGTTTTAGAAATCCTCCATCTGTGAGATTAGTTTTTCTGGTTGCTAAGTAAAAATAAGCTTTTTGTGAGTAATTAAAATGAGATGCTCTAAACATGGTTGTACAATTACACCTTAAAAGTATATGCCAATGGTACATTCACACAATGGAATACTATGCAATGCTAAAGAATAATGTAGAATCTGCAAAACACCGCATAACGTGGATGAACTTGGAGGACATTATGCTGAGCGAAATA